TGTACATAGTGAATCGAGATCATTCTTTTTGTCAGATGGTACTTAGGGAAGGTATATTATGATGCCTGAGTGAAATAACAGGGAATGATGAAGAAGGTAGCCCTTGGCCGGTCATATTGTCAAGTTTTTACAGAACCCCCCCAATGATAGTATCGGACGGACGTGCGGCGAGATCTGACTGAGATCCAGATCGGCCGATGCCGCCGGCTCTCTCGATCGCGCAAAACATTTGGAGGACACTTAGGCTTAGCAGAGCTTCCTGCGTGGTACAAGGTCGTCCATTAGAGCCTCCTTGATTTCTTCACACCATACCTGCCTCTGGATTTGGTCGACGGACTTGCCCAGGACTTGTTTTTCTTTGGAAATATCTGGTCTTACGAGCAAGCTTATCCTCCCCATACCTCAATATGCCAGTCAATCCAACGAGGGAGAGGTTCAACGCGAAAGCTCGCCAATCATCCGCCGGTTCACACAAGCGGAAAGGAAAGCGAGCGAGCAAAGTAGAAGGAGATGACACGAATGCTGAGGTCGTCCAGCCTAAGTCAAAGACCCAGAAGGAGTTGGAGCGGGAGGAACGGATAAAGCAGGAGGTATGATTGCCACTTCTGCTGAAGGCTACGATGAAAATTATAACTTTATACTCCCTCAGCTCGCTACACACTCTGAATCGAAGATGTCTAGCAAGAAGAAACGCCGCCTCGAGAAGTACATCGTATGTTATCTCTGCATGAGGGATTACGGACCGTTTGTGCTGAATATTATTATACGAACAGGACAAAAAGCTGAAGAAAGAAGAGCGAGCTGTAATCCTGCAAAGGCTTGCGTGAGTCTTAGCTTGACAGTTTGTCACTCTTCATCCACTCATGCTATGTGTCAGTGCGAGCCAAGCGGAAATGCCGACTTTGAAGCTGCAAACTTCTTCCATGCTCGGTACTGGGAAGGTCGCTACCAACCAGTATCGTCTGGAGAAGGAGGAGGATAAGGAGGTCCGAAGGCTCATGGATGGTAAAGCAGGGAAGCGGAAGCGTCACACGGAGACATACGTCAGTTCAGACGAGAGCGAAGGAGACGAGCGGGACTCTCCTGCTCTGCAGGCTCACAAGGACGTCGAGATAGTCGACCTAACCGACCATACGGATGGCGCGAGGCCAGGACCTACTGTAGTGATGGATACTGCCTTCGGCGGGGAGGAGCCAAAAAGCATTACTACTGCGAAACGGTCAGTTGGTAGTGCTCTCAAGAAAAATTCGGATGGGGATATTGCTGCCCCGATTATGAAAAAGAAACGGGCAAAGGTGAGTTTCGCCCTGTCAGACTTCCGATCCGTATCTCAGGTTTGGTACTGCAGGGTGCGATCCGGAGCTGGACGAAAACGGCTGCGGCATGCAAGCAACAGGAGAAGGAACATTCTGACAGCAGCTTCGACAGTTCTGACTCTGCGTACGATTCTGTCGACGAAGCAGAGTCCGACGGCAGCGCTGAAGACGGGCACAGCCGTCGTTCGCAGTCAGAGTCCGGCACGGACGACTCGGACGAGCATCCAGGATCAAGTTCCGACGAAGAAGAAACCGGTGAACCTCCCGCTCCTAAGAAGCGCAGTTTCAAAGATTGGGCAATGGCTCAGTTAAGTGCTGCTAAACCTTACGTAGCGGCACCCAATGCGGATAGACATGCGGAAGAACCGCCATCTCAGTCTGAGCATCCGGACGCACCCCTCTCCAAAAGGCGGAAACAGGAAAAGTCTCAGACAGCCACAGATGGCCTACTGCGCGGACCTCTCGGAGAGGACGTGTCCTTTCCCCAGACATCTCTTGCCAAGCAACTCCGACCGAAGTCCAGCGCTGATGTCGGGAAGGAGGCACCGGCATCCTCAACGGGGGATAAACCTGCGTCCGGGAAGTCCTTCGTCGCCGTCTCACGGCCTCCTGACGTGCAGGAAAGCCGGATGCAACTCCCAATTGTGGCTGAGGAGCAGACGATCATGGAGGCTATAATGCTGAACCCGGTGGTCGTTATCTGCGGTGAAACGGGAAGTGGTAAGACCACGCAGGTTCCGCAATTCTTGTACGAGGCAGGATTCGGCAGCCCAGGTAGCGGTAGGTGATGTTCTACTCCATGATATATCGATTTGCCTAACTCGACCGGTTTGTAGAGAATCCTGGCATGATTGGTGTCACGCAGCCGCGCCGAGTCGCTGCAGTATCTATGGCGTCTCGGGTCGCCCGTGAGCTATCCTTGCCATCGTCTCGTGTCTCCTATCAGATCCGATACGATGCCAGTGTATCACCTTCCACATCTATCAAGTTTATGACGGATGGCGTCCTGCTGCGAGAGTTGGCTACCGACTTCCTGCTCACGAAATATTCCGTTATCATCATCGACGAGGCCCATGAAAGGAGCATGAACACCGATATCTTGATAGGTGTTCTGAGCAGAGTCATTAAGCTTAGGGAGCAGATGTGGGCCGAGGGAAAGGATGATGTTAAAGTGAGTGCGCGTATTTATATCTAGTTTTTTTCGTTTTGATATGACTGTCTGCGTCAGCCTTTGCGGCTGGTGATCATGTCAGCTACCCTCCGTGTATCAGACTTCGTGGAGAACAAGACCTTATTCTCTTCCCCTCCCCCCGTCATCAACGTGGCCGCTCGTCAGCATCCAGTCACCATTCACTTCAGCCGTCGCACCTCCCCGGATTATGTCACCGAAGCCGTCAAGAAAGCTTCGAAGATTCATACCCGGCTTCCACCTGGTGGCATCCTCATTTTTTTAACTGGTCAAAATGAGATTACTGGCGTATGCCGGAAACTGGAGGCAAAGTTCGGTCACAATGCTATCCGAGGAAAGCAGCAAAAGCGTAAAGCTTCGTCTATGCAAGGTTACGAAACCGAGGTGCCAGAGGGCAATAAGCCCGAGTCCGTCCGTCCTGCATTAGGCGAGTAAGATGGCAGAACGTTGCAACTGTCGACTTACGAATTCCTTTAGCCGATGTTGAACCAGAGGACATCGAACTCGGTGCTGCTGACGACAACGCGGCTCTCGACGTTGATGGTGATGTGGATGCGGAAGCGTTGAACAACGATAGCGACGATGAATCCGATGGAGGGGTAGACGCCAGCGAAGGCCTACCAGATACGGATTGTGCGTGCGTTCCGAAGGATTCAATTCTTCCTGGATTAATTCTCTTGCAGCGCCCATGCACATAGTCCCGCTGTACTCTCTATTGCCCAGTCATAAACAAATGCGTGTTTTTGAACCTCCTCCACCGGGTTCACGCTTAGTTGTTGTATCGACAAACGTCGCTGAAACCTCTTTGACGATCCCCGGTATTCGTTACGTCGTTGACTGTGGCCGTGCGAAGGAGGTAAGTCTCAGACCGGCACATCGCTGTAACTGCAACGCGGTCTGACGCATGCTATAGAGAAAGTATGACGTTGCCAACGGTATACAATCCTTCCAGATCTCTTGGATATCCAAAGCATCAGCAGCGCAGCGAGCAGGACGCGCTGGGCGCACGGGACCGGGACACTGTTATCGCCTATATTCATCCGCTGTCTACGAGAACTACTTTGCTCAGTTCGCTCACCCGGAGATTCTACGGATGCCCATCGAAGGCGTCGTGCTGCAGATGAAGAGCATGCATATAGATGCAGTGACTAACTTCCCATTTCCGACCCCACCTGACCGAATAGCGCTACGGAAGGCAGAGTCGTTGCTCACGCATCTCGGAGCGTTGTCGAATTCGAATACCCCTGCTACTGCGGACGGTTTAAACGCTACCGCGGGTGGACACATAACAGAACTTGGAAAAGCTATGGCTCTATTCCCAATATCCCCTCGATTCTCTAGGATGCTTGTAAGTGGTCGGCAACATGGATGCCTACCCTACGTCATTGCTATTGTCTCCGCGTTGTCTGTGGGTGACCCGTTTTTGCACGAAGATCAAATCGCGAACGACGGGAGCGATGTCAGCCCTGAACAGTCGCCGTCAGAGCCGGAGCACTCTACAAAGAACATCAGTGAGGTCCAAACATCCCACCGACGGGCCTTCTTCAAGATGCAGCACGTAAGTATACTATATGCTGTCTTAACAGCACTCTTATATCGTCTCTAGACCCACGCCGCTCTCGGCAATTTCACAAGCGACATATTCAAGATTCTATCCGTTGTTGGAGCCTATGAATACGCCGGTGGAGGCCATTCATTTTGCATGGAACACTTTGTCCGGCCGAAGGTGTGTAATGCACGTCGAGTGTCTGCAACTTCATGCGACAGCCGCATTACAGGCTATGGAAGAAATACACAAGCTGCGGTCGCAGATCAGCAATATCGTTCAAGTAAACTTCCCTGAGACCCATGCGGCGTTTGTGCCGAACCTAACCCCGCCCTCGACACTGCAGGTACAATATTGGTCATATTTAAGACACGCTGTTACTAATAGAGTGACATGACAAATTAGATCAAGGTCCTTCGTCAGTTGTTATGTGCGGCCTTCATAGACCAGGTTGCGGTGAGGGCAGATCTAGTGGCAAAAGATGGCTCGACGGGAACTAAATACGCCTCATCCGTTGGAGTCCCTTATAAGGCACTTGGTGTTGCGGATGATGTGTTCATTCATCCGTCGTCCATCCTCGCTGAAGTATCGCCGCCGGATTACGTTGTGTTCCATGAACTTGTTCGGACCTCGCGGCTGTTCATCAAAGGTATGACCCTCCGTTACCCCGTCACATCCTGCTGAGCCTGCCTAAACAGGGGTAACTGTAATCAATCCGGCATGGTTATCAAATCTGGGCAAGCATTCCCTGTGTACCTTCTCAAAACCTATGAAGAACAGTAAAGGTGTCATGAAGGTCATTCCACGTTTCGGGCCCGCAGGCTGGGAATTGCCCGCAGTCGACGCCGTCTGAGAAGTGTCTATAATCAATCTTCTAGGATACAGTTTCTTATGATACAAATTGCAAAATCCCGTTGCCGATATAGAATAAATTACGCTGTAGACAGTATCCCTAAATTAACCCCCCCCCCCCCGGAATATATGTTCCTTCGCATTCATCCAGTATGTCTTGTCGTAGCTTCCTCATCGCTGCAAGGGTAGCTTTGATCAGTATTGCTGGTGTGTAAGGGGAGCCGAAGTGGAGTTCACCTTGGTAGGTTTCGGGATGAACAAGCTTGGGCCTTGTTTCTGACGCTTAACAGGTGGCTTAGGTCTTGGTTTGGAAGATTCGCCTTCACTCTGACGCAGACTCGGTGGTTGCTTTGGCAGAGACTCTTCTATCGGTCGCTTCTGACCAGTAGACGACAGAGAAGCTTGATCCTCTTTGACCCGGAGTGCAGGTGGAGGTCGCTGTGGATGATCTCCATCGATTGACCGCTTGTGAGAAGCTACGGTCGTATCACCTTCGGATACGCGAGTCCTCGGCTTTTCCGTGAATTGACGAGGGGTCAAAAGGCCTTCCGGTGGAGGTAGTGCTGGGGAAGCCACATTTCTTGTCATAGGATCTGCGGCGATGACTGTCGGGAGAGTGTCACTTGGGGTGGTAAAAAATGAAGCATCCACCTAGACGTGAAGCATTAGTGGACGACAACGCCTCTGACTCAGGAGCCATACTCGCCTCCGCTAGTCGCTGCCTAGTTCTCGCATCCGAAACGATGTCTCGCCATGTCTTGTCGCTACGTTCAAGCGTCGGAGCATGACCTAGGACGAATAGTGATGATTTGGCTCGAGTCAAGGCAACATTCATACGCCGGGTGTCTTGTACAATCATTCAATATGGGTAGGGTCACCATCGTAGACTACTCACCTGACAGAAACCCGATGCTCTGCAATCCCGGACCAGCGCGCACGCACGATAATATAATAACATCTTTCTCCTGTCCTTGGAAGCCATCTACCGTATTGAAGTCCACCTTGCCCGCGATGTCTGACCCAAAACGACTGATGAACGCCCGACGCATCTCTGCAATCTGGGCTCGGTACATAGAGACAACGCCAACCCTGTAGTCAAAGTCGAACATGGAGAACTCTTTGCGCAGGCGGCCATACAAGGTTACGGCGACCTGGCACTCCGCTTTGTTGACTAGTGAGCGGTACCCGCCCTCCTGCTCCTGGCCGCGGCCCACGCTGAAAAACCGATACGTTCCAAATTTACCATGTGAATGCCAGGGCTGCCGAGTCTTCGCAGCCATGTCCGGGCCATCAGACAACTGTCCCTGATAGAAGAGGCGGCTTGGCAATTCACTGATATCGGGATGCATACGATATTGGATGCTGTAGAATGATAACTGAGCCTTACATGCTGGGCAGAGCGGGGGTGCATACCATACCTCAAGAGGTGCACAGATTCTGGCTTCTGTTTTTGAAGCCGGACGAAGAGCGACTGATTGTAAAGGTATCTCGACGCCTGCAGAGTCATACAACTGTTAGTCGCGATCATGCATCAGACACCATCGACAGTTACCTCTTGAGAAATGACGGTTGGAGGGAGCTGCTGAGGATCTGAAGGAATCAATTACGAATGGTCCAGAGATCTTCATTAACACTGGCGCACTGGCGTACCTCCGACCATGACGCAGCGTCTGCTTTTGTACTTTAGAGGAATGAGTGAACTCAGTTCTATTGCTTGGGCGGCTTCGTCGATGATGACCATGTCGAAATCACACTGCTCTAAGATATCGTGCCCGACTCCAGACAGTGTACCGCAAACAACGTCCGCCGCGAGAATAACCTCGGTACGGCATTTACGTCGCGTTGCATCCAGACTACGATAGTCAGATTTTTGCTGGTCCTTCGTCCGATCGAACTGCTGAGATAGATTCAAACGTTTGGCATTCAAGGCTCGAATCTCTTCTTCGAGAGCGCGGCTTCGTGCACCGTTGTCGTGGACAGCATTTAGCTCATCTTGCTTCTGTTGCTTCTGTCTCTTCACCGCTTCTAGTTCAGCTCGTAATGTTGCAATCTCATTTGAGGTGTCTCGGCCGGCTCCCATTGACCCCTCCTCATTCAGCTTTTGATTGACGAGATAGTCCAGTGTAATATCTTTCACGCTGATGTTGACATTTTTGTCGTTGCCAACACGAACAACCTTCGGGTTGGCGGCATATCCTGCGCCACAAGCGCCGTCCTTTAGACGGTGTGCAATCTCATCGACCGCTGCGTTACTCGGGGCGCAGAGAAGGACCTTTTTCACAGGTTCCTTATCCGCAGGAATTGCGCTACGCCCCGCATGGATAGCAGTCGTTGGACGAGGTCGCCGAGATAGAAAAGCATGGACAAGGCCGCAGATTGTCGATGTTTTACCTGTACCCGGTGGGCTGCCTCCACGTTAGATATCGCATTGACAATTAGAAATGACGAAGCAAATACCCTTGGATAAGCGTGAATCCATCGCATTTTAGAGAACTTAGAATCGCGACAGCTTGGGGCTCGTTCACTTTATATTTCGCCTGGGTATGTTGAATTTCCCGAGCATCCAGAAGCGGTTTCGACGGCAGCCGCGGCTGGAGAATTGAGTCGGCAAAATCATAAAAGGGCAAAGCCATAAGGGCGGCGTACTCCCTATGCAGCGTGCTGAGACTTCTGGGAGTGTGAGAAGGCGTATATGTCAAACAATTGAATCAGATTTCTTACCTGAATACTTTGCTAAGACACCAGCTGGTGTTAATCTGAAGACCGGGGTCCATTGCGGCATGAGGCAAATAACACCTGATAGTCGCTTGGATCCCATAACGTTGTGCCTTGTAACTCTGTGTCTTCCCTAGGATGCATTTCTTGCCCTCTGGTTGCTTAAGGAGGACCACATCGGTCTCCGTTAAAGCCCAGTCCTTCTTAACATCGTCAGCGATTGAGATATCGAGGTCAAGCCAGTCATCAATGAACCCGCGAGACACAACCGTACAAGTGAAGACCTCTTGAGATTCTTGCTTGGACTGCAATAGCTGAGCCCAGCACTCGTACAACAACAATGGTTCGAAAATTGCGCGGTACTGCCCATAGTCAGTGAATCGATCAGGAACTCGAGTTAGGGCCAAGCCGCGGTTTGGCATAGGAGGCTCAGGGCCATCATGCTCGTAGTTCCATGAAAGCAGCGCTTTGTGGAGGGAGGAAATATCTGGTTTCATGCGTAACGCTGTTCTTTGGGCCTCACGTCGGGCATCGAATAAGCGGTTCGTGCTTCCTTTGATATTCGTCGTGGTATCCAACATCTTCACTTGTCTCCGTTCGACTGTTCTTTTAATCTTGGGAGTTCGCTGTAACTTCCCAAGAGCTACTAGACCTCCCTCTTTGGCCTCTTCCTCGTCGTCCTCAGAGTCGTCCTCAGAAGACGTTGAATCGGACATGTTGCTTTTTCCCGAGGAGCCCTCAAACTTCGGTGCTTTAGCCGTAGCTGTACTCTGAGAGATAGTTCTCGGCTGCACAGGCCTATGATCCTTAGTCGTCACGGACGTAGATGCGGAGGCGGTTCCCTTGACCGGTTCTCGAGGAAGAATTGAACCATTTGTCGCAACTATGCTGATGGTTTCAGGCGCCCTTGTCTTCTTGTCTTGTACAGGCCGTTTCTTAGGCATGCCTGACGTACCGGCGACCTTCCCCGCCCCTTGCGCGATGTTTGAGCCCGAGCCCCGCTTACTCGATGATGGATTATAGGCGATTATCTGTACATCATCATCATCGAAGGCAGCCAGTGTGTCCTCCAGCTGGGATAGTCTTGCGGTGTCTAGACGAGTCTGGGGACGCTTTGGATCTTTTCTACGAGCATCCTCGACGAACTTATTGAGCTTCTTCATACCGGCTTCTGAAGGAGTGACTCCAGTCTCCAGAAAGCTCTCAAGGAGAGACTGGAGCAAAGCGAACGACTGGTGTAGTAGCTCTTCATCGGTCAAACGTAGCCATCTCGCCAGCTCCGGTAAGACCTCCTGTAGATCATCCATCATTTGCTTGCCCTTGGTCGACAGCTTCTTCGGTTGCCTCGACGATTGTTGTTCCTTCTCATACAAAGCAAGTGCCCCAGCTTCGATAACCCTGCGCTGAGCCAGCATATCCCTGCCGAAAATGAGAGCATCTCTCATCCACACGGTCATCTCTTCGTTCTCGAAATGAGGTGCCCAGCTCGGAGTCAGCCTGAATATGAGAGCCAAGGCGCGAGTCATCGAACGCCAGAGAGACAGCAGGTCGCCAGATACTCCGATGCCAGACTCACCTCTCAAAAAGCCGGGTTTGAGGAGGAGCCCATCTGGAGACGAGCACAACACCTCTATGACGTCCGTCAGACAGCGGACAAGCGCCTTTGAGAGACTACATGCTTCGGGTACAACCGGGATGTAGTGCAGGAATATCTCTAGGAAATGAACTATACCGCGGAGCGAGGTATTCGGAAGATTTTCCAGGAGGGCTCGGAAGCAATCCATACGGACGTCGACATCGAATGCCTGGCCTACGATCGCCTGGACAGCCAACGCCGCCTGATCAATCGGACATAACATCAGGGCAATTATGTGCTGGACGACACCCTGCCGCCGTAGTAGATCAAGGATCGAAGATGGGGTGTTGTAATCTGCATATCTTGATATCGTTGCCAAGAATCCGTCACGAAAACTGTTTAACGACTTATTGATATTCTTCAAGATAAGCCCGACCTTGCCACTTCTTTGAATAGAAGCTGCAAAAGCTTTCTCGCTAAGTAGGTCCATATGCGCCGTGCTTGCAACAACGTCCAATACGAGATCAACGCCGTCCGAATCATTTGGCTGAAGACTTTGATACGCGTTCTTCCAAATGAGTTGTTGACTAGCTGGTGGATCGGGCAGGCTGGCGTCTGATCCTCGGTTGAACTTGCAAAGGGACGTGATTGCTTCAGCAACATCTTGAACGTCCTTCAATAAGAGGTCCTTCACGAGGCCGCGAGCAGCAATCCTGGAATCGCGCCACTTTGAATCTCCATAGTTATGTGAGAAAGCGACTGAAACCAGAGTGTGCGCGTGGATATCTACCACGGCTGATATGGCAGTTCGTTGACGTAGGTGTTCTTTGTCCGCACTTTTACTGAAGAGAGTAGATAAAAGCTAGCAACAGGTCTGTATAAGCAGTTAATAGGAATAGCAGATACAGCACAAACCTTCATCACAAAAGTCATCGTCTCTGATCTCGTCCCTTCGAATCTGTCATGCTGCAATTCCTCACACATGAGGTCAGTAACTTTGGCGAGGACGTCGCCAAATAGGGGCATCTCCCAAATAGTGGTCATGAATCTGGAGAACCACGCCAGCACCCAAGGCTTGGACGCGAGAATAGCGGGGTTCTGGAAGATTTCTATGAACGAGCGATTATCTTTGACAGCGTCAAAAACGATTTGAGGGTAGTCTGCTCCTTCGTCCCGCCATAAGAGGCTTTCGCAACGCTCAGTAAGGTACCATAAGCAACGAAAAACGTCGATGAATCCTTGAATAGCAACATCGATGTGCAGGATGAGCGGAAGTATTGAATAGTAAATGGTCAGAAATATTCCCCAACAGAGCGCTAATGGAAGACTTACTCGACCCCGTATCATGTAGGTGACCGATGATTATGTGTCTAATGTCGATATTGCACAGTATACTGGGATGCATAACATGCGCAGGCAGATATCGCATAACGACAGCGAATCCAGCCCATAGTGCGTCTGCATCTTCCGCAAAAGCAAAGGTTATCGCCGCCCCCGCATTGCCTGAATTACTGTCAAGGGATACTCTAGTCAAGGATGCCGGAGATGGGGGTGCATCGACATGCCCTGTAGAAGCAACTGCGGCGATGATGGGATAAACAATCTTCTCATGCGACCCAATGAAACGGTCCGAAGATATCGGTGCTACCCGGTACCGCTGCAGTTGGCAACGGGCCCACGTTCTAGCATTTTGTCTGTCACACAGAGCCAGTAGCAGAAGACCAGCTGGAGGTACACGTGGAGGCCAATCAAGTATGGGCGCAGGAGGGACCTTGGCCATCACAAGTGGTTGAACGCGCTTGTCTTGGAATACCGCTAGATTGCAGAATATAAGATAAACAATCCCTGAGGGTAAGTCGCTTAGAGTCGTTTGTCCACTATCAGGTGACTCTACGTCAATACCCGCGTCTCTGAGGCTCGAGAGGGCCAGAGAAATCTCCCATTCGTCGACTGAACGATAGAAACCTTGCAGGATGTCGTCTGAAAACGCGCCGAAGTACCTAGCATACCGAGTCAACACACAGACGGCACATCACAAGAAAGTATCAAATAGACGAGGGCGAACTTGCGGGCGTCTAAGGGCTTGACACTCACGTATGCCTAGACCTCGTCTTCGCAAGCTCTCTTGCTTCCACGCAAGCAGGACACCTGGACATACATTTCCCAAGACGATCCTTCCATGCGTTCACTCGACTGCTGTTATAGGCGTGTAGTCTGATCAGGAACGTAGCAGCCTGTGTCGCAATCTCGTCGGCACGACTGCAAAACCAGTGCAGAGACCCATCTCCATCGGACGGAATCTTCATGAGATACGCATAAATAACACTTAGGACAGAGTCCGGAGCGCCTTGCGTATCCACTGGCGCATCGCGAAAACCCTTCAGCAAGGATTGGACTTTTTCGACGTCTGAGGCGGATGTGGCCATAGGACCTAAGAGCATAAACCAGGAATGAATACCCTGGGCCTGCACAGAAAGAGGCGCAGAAGTCCTAGGCTCAAGGAAGGGAGAATACTGAGAGCCTAGTAGTCAGCGCCGCGGTGGACGTCAAGGACGCGTATGCTGAGATGGTACGACGCTACCCAAACGCTACCAACTTGAAGGGAGCCGCGTCGGCGTGACTTCACGTCTCTTCACATTAGACGCGTGACGTCACCGTCACGCGTGTCTGGTTTTCTCTGCTCCCCCATGGACCCACAAGACCTTGAGTTCATCAACGATTCGCTAGACCGCGACGTTGAGCTAAGAGAAGTGAGCAACGATGCGCTCGGTTCATCCAGTTGGAAATGGGAATCCATTATCGTCGTGTGATGACTTTCCCAGAAAATCAAGGAAGAAGTCGGCGAACTCGATAGGAAAACAAGGTCAATGGTGGGACTCCTAAATAAAATCCATTCGACCCCCCAAGACAAAAGTACGACGTTCATCCTCTGTCATAGCTGCTAAGATCCTAGCTTCTAGCAGTTCCGCCTCTTGTGGATTCAGTGCGGCCTGGACTGCAGGACTTGCAGACAACGACCACTGCGATATACGAGCTCATACCTCCAGACCAGTTCTGGCGATGGAAAGAAATGTGGTCCAACTCCATGCGGAACGCAGTATTCTGCGCGACTTTGATGGAGTATCTTACCAGCGGTACCCTCATGTCGTTGGCCAGTGCTAGCGCAGCCCTTGGTAGTAAGTACGATATATCAGCATGCCCGTTCCGCCAAAATAGCCTTACGCCTTGAAGTACGAGAGGAATGGAAGAATCGCTTTACTCTTCCTGCTGAGGACTACCTACACGGACTTATTACCCTGGTTAATGAATTGGTGCGTGACGTCAATGATCCGTTGGACATTTACGCTCACCGGACGCGTTCCACCATCCTGCTGGGTTCTGCACTAATGGCATTCGTGTCACAACCTACCGGTCTGAACTGGACCCGTTCCGTCGTACCAATCACTAGTCTCGTTTGGCGGTCAACGCGGTTACACTGGGCAATTACGAAGAACCGATTCGAATTTCGAAGTTCGTCAAAGATTTGTTTGCAGGATTTTCCATGGTATATAGAGGATTTCTTGGCACTTGGCTTATGGCCCTAACGGATGTTCTTCCAGCTCAATCTGAAGAACGATACTTTGCGACGCAGATTCGACAGCCTGAAATATGACATCAAGAAAATCGAAGAAGGTAGATGTCCCGAGTTTCCTTACATGAGACTTGACTCACATATACGGATCGTTGCAGTCGTCTATGATGTATCACTTCGTAAATTGGCGCATCCAGCATGATGTCGAAGAACTGCACCAATGTGTACAGTGTGCCTGTGAAGTCGAAGTCAACCTCGGGCGACCTCCGGTGGTGCGAAGGTACTTCATGTGCTAGGCTCGAGTAGAGAAATTGCTTGATTTCCGAGGAACCTCTGAGTAAGATCTTTAACTTATGCCTGAAACCGAAATGGGGCTTCAATGAAGTAACTGAGAAGTCACGTGTGCGAGAGCCGTGGCAGTTCGGAGCATATTTGCGGATTTGCATCAGACTTGTATCGTCGTACTCGTTTGCCGTCTTGGAAGCTTTTCGACCCCGTATCTTTAACTTCACTTGCTCCCTTTACCGCATCAAGAGTGTTGTTTCCATAATCATTGTGGTTTCCATCACGCCACAGACCACGGATTCGGAATAAGGTGCTGGACAGCTTGAGCTCGTTTTAGCTTCTACTGCCGCGTGTCAGTACATGTCAGTTCCCGCACCCAGAACCATTGTTAGCCACAGTAGATTACCGCGTCCACCTCGTACGTCCCGAAAGACACAAGGATGGCGAACAGACGAGGTATGTCAAAACGACCGGCTTCCTCCGAAGGTATGTCATTCCCACGTTTGTGCTGTACATAACTTAATACAAACATCATGAATGCAGAGCTAGAATGCTGGTCGCATGCGCGTGCCTCTCTGAAATCGCTGACTGACATATATGATAATCCCTCAAATGTGGATACGATAGGCCGAGTGAACAGACTCGTGTCTGCTTGGCCGATCGACGATTCCTTACCTGCCGAAGGTATAGAAAACGTGAAGATGGTACACAAGAAACTCATCACTGCATTGCAAGACATCCGCACAATGTCTCGCACTGAGCTGGAGTATGGCACACTCCTTTAATCACCCGTATATAACCTGACCTTGCGAAAGGGCTATCGATGACGCTATCGAGCGTCTGGGCGTATTGATTGCTCTTCGCAAGGCCTCGGAATCCAATCCTCAAGGTAAGAGAGCTCATATCTGGAATTTTGCCTCTGCTAATGTATCCTTAGTAGAGAAACGGGCTAAGCGTCCGCGAGGGCATTCACCTCCAGCACTACCTGGGCCAGGTACACCCTCTGCGAGTCGAGGCGTCTCGATTACGCTACCAGCACGCAGCTCGGCTGGCCCAGCTCCGCCTATACCATTTTCTCGAGATCCTAAAGCCAGAAGGGAAGCGTTGGCAAAGCAGTTGCCTCTACAGGAAGGTCGGAAAGTGGCATTCCACCCTCCACCTCATTCCGGGAAACCAGGAGAAACTGGTGGTGGCGAAACAGACGAGAATACGTGGATCTTGGCGGTTGTGACCAAATGCATAAATCAAGACAAAAATAGGTTGATGATGCCACAACATTTTTGTCGCCTTCATTTCTGACACATTTTGCGGCAGATACGAAGTCCGAGACGCCGAGAATCAAGAAGACGGTTCACCTGGACAGTACGTCTAATCATAACCTGTTTCATTTGTGCAGATGGCCGACCTATTCCCCAGGAGCTACAACACCACGTTGAGAGCCATAATACCCTTGCCTGACCCCAATGCACCTCCTGATAGCGCCGCCCATCTGGACGCATACCAAGATTTCCCAGCAGGATCGACTGTTATGGCCCTATACCCTGATACGAGCTGTTTCTACAAAGCCGAGGTGATTGCCAGTCGAAAGGACATGGCTAAGGCAAGTTCAGCGTGAGCGCTTCGCGTAATTGTCCTGACTCGGTGAACAGATGGGCCACAAACATCCTCCAATGTATAAACTGAAATTCGAAGATGACGACGACCAGGAACATGTTGTGAGCGCTCAACTAGTGGTGGAATGGCCAGGTCCCGGCTAGCGTCATCAGGAACGTCCACGGGTTTAATGGTAGCGGACTCTGCTAGAGTATCTGATGTATCATGGATCATTGTAACGTCTCGTGCCAGTCGTAGGACTGCTATCTCCCAGACGAGTTGTGACATCCAGTACTTGCGTCGTCGGGCGGGGAGAATGTTTCAACATACCATCTTTCCGTAGTTACGGGGTTGTCAGCTTCACCAAACTGCAACGAGTGAGTCCCAGAGGTCGCCAACATGGGAAACTCGTCGAAGCCACCGGAAACTGCCGGAACCTTCTAGCCACTGTGGCATACGTCAGCCTCGGCTGTAAGACTTGCAAAAAATGTAAATCAGTTAGACGAGGCTTTGAGATCTTGAGACTCAAGAGACCGAGAATGGATCAGAACTGTTCTAGACTTTTCTACATGAGGAGGATCCTTATCCCGGACTCACATATAAAGCGTTTGCATAGACCCGCTGTATGTCGATCAGAACAGCTTAAGTAGCGCAAACAAAACACTTCTATTCTATCTGCCTCTAAAGCCTCTTATAATCACTCACTATAATGTCGCTTTCACGTCAATTCTTCCGCGAGCTTCGCCCTCTGTTCCGCATGCTCGAAGAGCCTTTCGGACGGACGCCAGCATATTATGGCCGCGGTTCGCGGTCTGTCTTCGACGACCCATTCTTCAGTGCGCCGTCCACGTTCCGGCCACCCGTCGACATCACAGAGGAGGGTAACAACTTCGTCATCGAAGCCGAACTTCCAGGAGTAAAGAAGGAAAACGTGGAGGTTCGCATCGGCGAGGGTGGACGGAACTTGACTATCGAGGGCAAGGTGTTCAGTCGGGGCGCAAGAAGGGAGCCAAACTTCTCCGAGGCACAGAGCGAGCAACCATCGGCAGGGGTCAGCTCTGAGGGCACAGAAGGTATGTAGTCTTGATCAAGATTCTGGTTTTAGGCCGTGCGCTAACATGTTAACAGGTTCGAAAGCCGTGACGAACACCGACCAGAGTTCGAATGCCATCTCGACTGAACGCGAGATTTCTGGCACGTCGACATTCCGGCGGACCGTATGGCTGCCACGGCCAGTTGACGGCACTGGCGTGACTGCCAAGCTCCAGGACGGTATCCTTACCGTCACTGTACCGAAGGCTGAGGACAAGGCCAGCGTCAAAGTCCCCGTGGAATGAAGGATAATTTAGGTGTCGGGAAGAAGAACTATCTTCCATGGTCCGCTTGCTATTCACGACGCAAAATGCAATGTATTTATTATAGCGACACAAGTGTACTACTATAAGCATGACTCACCACAATGTAATATAGTACATTCACTGCTCTTTGATACTCTTGTGGCCCGCGGCTGCGATATCATAGGCGTAGTTCACATATAGCAGTTGCCTTGCTTGGCCGCGACTGACTTGTAGTCATCGGGAAGTTCGAATCGCCGTAATGTTAACGACTTCAACTGAACGTTCATGGAAAATTTGCACTTTTCTAGGGGTTGTGTAGCACAACGCGTATCGAGAATCCACTTATGCAGTCGAAGCAAAGATCCACGCGTCGACCGTCGACGTTGAAGTCAGAGCAGAAAGACAACCAAAAGCGGAAAAATAACGAGCGCCTACAACGCGAGATCTAGGTGGCGATCTGGCGTTCCGTGACAACTTTTGCGTACCATGCAGAGTCTACACGTTCTGCTTTGCCACCTACGCCCTCCCATTCCTTTCAGCTAGCAGCGTCGGGCTTAGTCCTTTCATAGAAAATAGAAAATAAAAGAAAGGAACCGACGACGGTCAACTCGCGAGTTTGTCACGCCTGTAGCGGACGGCGAGCACCCACGTCCATCTTGCGCCGACCCGCCCCCGCCGTTCTCCGGCTCTGAACCCGACAACAAAGCGACCCGGCACAGCTCGCCAGACACAATGAACGGGCATCCCAATGGGCACCCTGACGCGATGCGCTCGCTACACCCCAGCATACGCCTCCTAGGCCCCTCGCAAGTGCACCTCACGCTGCGCCCATCGCAAGACAACCAGCAATTCTACCACCATCAGTACTATCAGCCCCGCCCGCGCGAGAGTGAAGAAGAAGACGACGACGAAGACGTCGACCAGTTGGATTCGGATACGGATGAGAACGAGGCCGCAGACGCTATGCAGGTGGATCGCGTTCAGGGCGCGTCAGCTAGTCTGGCTGGGCCTGGAGAGCCGCCCGTGAAAAAGAGGAGACGGAGCAGCGTGAGGAAGCACGGGCAGAGCTTGCTTCCGCAGGAGTTGCTGGAAAACATCTTGGTCGCCGATGGTAAGTCTACATTCATGCTCTCTCCCGGATATTGCGAAATGGAGGTATGATAACGAAAGCTAACTTCGCATAGGTTCGGCAGGGCTCAACATGTCCAAGGAGGCGATGTTCGTTATCTCAATGGCTACGGTAAGTCACCAGCGGGACACCTGCGTCATCCTGCACTCTGAAGCTTACATGTGTCTGCTGTGAAAGGAGGAGTTCATAAAACGATTGTCTCGAGAGGGACAACAACGAGCAGCGGTCGACCGGCGTACGACCGTAGACTACCGCGACATGGGTAAGCCATGGCAGTCCCCTCCTCTCTACCCGACCTCACACATCCTTGCGTTCGCAAGCCGACTGCACCCATCAAAGACGCCAATTCAGCTTCCTTCAAGGTAGGCGCTCCTCTAACCTTTTTCACATCTGCGATTATACTCACATATTGCTAGACGTCATACCCCAACCGATGCCTCTCGCCGCAGCACTCCAGCGCCGCGCAGCAAAAGCGGACGAAGTCCCAGAAGAAGAGCCCTCCATCTCGACCCTCTCCACCATGCCACCCTCCGCCTCTGCCTCCGCCACCTTCCCGCACTCCGCCTCAGTATCGATCCCTCACTCCGCGTCCTACACCGGCGCCGGTACCATTAGCATCCCCCCCGCCCAACAGGACCACACCCGCCAGCCCTCCGAGAGCGCCCGCTCCGCGCGCACCTCCGCGCGCTCGCAGGTGAAGCTCAAGATCCCGCGGCCCCCGTCAGCATCTGCCTCCGCGCACAACGGGGGCGAGAAGGTGAACGGCAAGTCCGAGGCGGCGAAGCTGCGCAAGCGCGACAGCCGCGGGCGGTGGAGCACCGTCGTGGACGGCTCAGCAGACGCAGAGAGCGCCAGCCGCGCGCGCTCCGGCCCAGCCCCCGCCCACGTATCCCCGGCCCAGGACTCGCCCACGCCCGAGCCGCACTGGGCGGTGCTCCAGGCGCCGCACGAGGCGTCCTCGTCCGCGGAGCCGCCCGAGAGCTTCGAGCGCGGCGCGCCGCCGCCCGGGATCAGCCTGAGCGCGGGGCTCGGGCTGGGCAGGGCGGGGTGGGGCGTGGGCCCGGCGAGCGGGTTCCTCGGCGGGCATGGGCGCACGATTTATTCTACGCAGAGGGAGCGCACGGGGTCGAGTGGCGGGTCGGGGAGGTGATGGGTAGTTAGGGTGTGTGTATGTACACTGTAGGGGTGGAAATGGATGTTGATGATTTTGGTGTGGTGTTGCGCCGAAGCTGCGTCACAGCGAAGATGGGTACAACAATCTAAATTACAGCCAATAATCTCCTTTGATACTTGTACAAGCTCCTAGTATTCAATGTTCATAACCCAGTCGCACCGGACCTCTTCCTCCACCTCTTACCTCTTCTCTACTCGCGCACTGCCACTCACTCGTACTTGGCAAAGTTGTTCTGCACCTTCGCGAGCAAGAACTGGCCGTACACGACGGGCTCGTAGCGCACGGGCACCATGCCGTCCGCGCCGACGTCCCTGTGCTTCGCGCCGTGGAGGTACGGGTTCGAGCACGCGATGCCCTCCTGCATGCGGATGGCCGCGGGGAGCGGCTCTACGCGGGCGTCGAAGTTGGGCTCGAAGAAGAAGGGGATGCTAGCGTGAGAGAGGGGAGGGGGGAGGGGAAGGGGTTAGAAGGGGAAGGAGGGGAAGAGGAGAGGGGACGTACGATACGCTGCGTGAGGAGAGCGAGTTTAGGGGGTGAATGTAGGATGAGGTGGGGGGGGGACGTACCGGTAGTTCGACCCTCGGTGGATCACTCTATGCAGCGTGCTCGTGTATAGCCCGTTCGTCCAGCGCTCCCACACTATCAGCGTCCACGTCAGTCATCCGAGCACAGTGAAGGAAAGACAGAAGCGAAGGCAACTCACTTTCTCCGACGTTGACGAGCAGACAGCCGGGCACGGGGTCCGCGCTGATCCACACGCCGCCCTCCTCGACGATCTCCTCCGCGGGGAGGCCGATGTTCGTGCGCACGACGGTGCCCGGGCGGGAGAGGTAGACTTGCAGCGCGTCTTTCGTGTCGTCTTGGTAGAGGAAGCTGCAGGGGCACGGTAAGTGAGCGTGTGGGGCGTCGAAAGCGGAAAGTGGGAGGAGGCGTACGTTAGACAGCCGTAGTCTCTAGGCTCCAGTGCACCTGGGATTAGGATGGGGATGAGGGACGAGGGAGGGGGCGTACTTATGTGAGCCGCAGGAGAGGCTGTCGTCGTCTGATTGGAGAGGAGGGTAGCCTGTGGAGGGTTGTATCGTCGAAACATTCAAGGGGAGGGGACGATAGCGTACCGATGACACGCAATACCCAGAACGAGTCATCGACTTTGGATTTGAGGTCTTTCCATTCTTCGGGTGACATGCCCAGCCCTGTAGCCATTCTAACACCCGAGATTATGTGAGACATGCATTGACCGTACTGCGCTTGGTGTGACTCACGCCTCCATGACTATCAAGCCTAGCTCTTTCATCTTCTCCACCCATTTCTCGTACTTTTCCCTGAATCCTGGTATGTCTGGCCACTGATTATTCCCCCAGAGAGGTCTCGACTTGTCGGGGTTCCCCACGGGGCGGTAAAAGTCGATCGCTTCGTGGTTATCGGCCTTGCCGTTGGTGACATTCTCTCCTATACGCTGGTAGCCTAGCAGGCATCAGGACGCGCCCGGCAGCGGCAGCTAGAGCGCGCGAAGCTCACCTCTCGCGCCGTCCTCCTTCGCCAAGCCGATGTTGTCTTTCTCCTCCTGCGGGAGTGCGAAAAAGTCGCGCGCGAGGCGCATGAGCTCGTTGGGCTCGTCGGGGTGGATGAACGTGGAGACATCGAGGTAGAAGAAGCCGTACTCGACGCAGGCGGCGTGCAGGGCGGCGGCGGTGGAGAGCCTGCCCTTGCCGTTGTGCCCCTCGGGGTGGATGTACGGGTCGAGGGAGACGATGGGTAGGGAGCTGAGGCGGTACGAGTCGTCGTTCGGCGGTCGTGGAACGGTCCACATTGAGGACGATTAGCGGGATGGCCAGTAGGATATGTACGGGGAGGAATATATAGCGTGACGGTGGGGCGTATGATAGCGAGGATCACCCGCTCGTTGGCTGCGACGTCGCCGGCCGTCATCGTCAGGAACGGCCAGATAAGATTAGATCAAGGCTGAGCTCCGTCCTGCTATTCATTCTGGACACGCCACTCGGGTTGCGCTCGCAGACTCTGCTTCGACTCCACACCGGATAATGTCAGCGTATACGAGAACAAGTCGGCCGTATAGTTCTCTTCCGAAAACCACGCGCGCCCGACAATGGCAGACTAAGACGGAATACTAGGCCTCTCAGTTATCCATATGTATCCAAACTTCGCTGTTAGCCAGCCAGCCTCCAGTTTCCTGCGCCTTTATCATCGTCCTAACTTCCCCTGCTCCTTGCTTGAAGATATCCATCCGCGTGCCTTACTTGAAGATCGAGTTCACTGGGTTCAGGTACTACACAGCTAGTCAATTGTGCACTGGAAATCCTGGAGTGGCGATTTCTTGGAAACCCGAGGAGACGCGAAACCACAAGATTTCCACCGCCGCTGTCGGCCTGTATGACTCCCGCTGGGTCACAACAGTGCGTTCTCTGATTCGGCGCTGGAATCCGGAGAGATCGCTGCCTACCGTCTGGAAGTCTGTCTACAACTGGGCGCGAATTCAATGGAAGTTCGATGGTGTTCGGCTAGCGGTGGTTTGCAACGATTTTCCAGCATACAGGTGAATAGCTGTGTAGCCCTGGACCGTCTTAGAGGCCGCCGGTAGTGTTTTGACGGCAGCTCTATCTACTCTGAGCCGCCCACTCACTGCTCGCGTTCCCCTTGCGTGTCCCTTGCCGGGTAGGTGGGTATCGTTGATATCAACCGGTGACCCTCCGGGCGTTGCTCAGAGACCGCGACGGCGGTCATGCTCCGCGGTCCATGGATCTGCTTATTGGGCGTGGAACACCGCTGCACTTCGTACGCATCCAGGTTCTGAACTGTCTGCTCTTCAGTGTCTGCCTTTGGCCCGCAGTACTTTTCTCAGCGGCCAAGGCTCGGGTCAGGGACGTTCGGGGGCAAGTAACTCCGTGCGTCGCACCAGAGAATCACACCGCCTAGTCGGCAGCAAGGAAGATAAGGATCGGCGGGAAATAAAGGCGCGTAGTCGTACACCATGGTCTTTCATCATACCGCAGGGCCAATGTGTCAGAACTCTGGATACCATGAGGCCATAGCTCACAAGCGCGTATCAACCGCGTTCACGGAATAGCTACACGGCCTGCCCAGAATCTGGTGAAAAAATCCAAGGGGCGTTCGTGCAAATGTCGGTAGTATAATTATCAGTACTTTTGCGTAACAGTTGCACTCATTTTGCGCGTGTGCCATTTGTGCAACGGTTGCAATACAGGTTGCAAAGGATTTGCGTCGTGGATTCCTTTGCGCAATATTCTGGCTTAGACTTATCGGCACGGGGGCGTGCCGCTGGTCTCGTGACACGTCGCGTCGCTGCTTCATCATGCCGATGTGCCGGATTTCAATCTCCGCTCGTAGCGGTTGGACTTCAACAAATTTCTCTCTCATCCTCTCTTGCCCTTCAACCACCACCATCTCTTGTCCGTGCCTGTGCTCCCCTCAGTTCCGCCCAGCATCTTGCAGCTGTTGTCTCTACTTGACATGGTACGTGTACCATATTTATAGCTATGTTTCGCTGCTGTCCCGTTGCTGCACGGTAGGTCATTGAGCTTGACTGCACTCAACGGCCGGGTCTAGAGTCCCATATCTTCTTCAATCCTGATGCTCGATTAGCACGAGGTAAGTGTGCTACTCTTCCAGTCTCTCTGAACATACTGATGATGCAGAAGTTGTACAGGCCGACAAGTGTGCGGCGTATCGCCTTATGTTCGCACTCGCACTTCCGTGTTTCTGTAACAGCAGATGCACCACAGGCAGTGCGTATATTGGGTCTTGTGATGTACAAGACATCATTAGATGTTCAGACATGTATGTAGTAGATATGTATAATGATTATATTGTTTTCCATGCATCCATATAAGCTGCGCCGTCGAGCAACGGGGTGGGAAAGGGGATCAATCTAGGCCCAAGCTAGGGTGTGGGATATCGAGAAATAGACAAAGGCGTCAGTAAAGTAAACAGTGTGGATTAGACACGAAACCGACGTGCGATGTTTCGTACGATTTCGTGGTGTTGGGGGAGAGGTCGGCGCGGGAACGGCCGGAGGCCGAGATGCCGAAGTGGCGCCAGCCAAAAGTGTGTGGCAGCCAATCGGAAGCCGCGGCCGGACTCTGAGTGTGGCAGGTGTCCACAGCGCGGACTGTCGGATACCCGACGAAATCCGGGCTACACCCTAACACACTAGACTGACAGGGCAGTGGTGGGCGGGTCGAAAGGAACTCTCCACTCAGGCGTCGAGGATGAGGGGAGAGAGAAAGAGTGAAAATTCGAAAGACTGACGCGGCGTGCTGAGCATTGGGAGAGCTACGGGAGAAGGCGGCGCTCGCGTGGCGCCGCGTGCTCAGCACGCGAGGGCTCTTCAGCCACACCTAGCTTGGCTTAGCGCAAGCCCGAGCCGCTCGTTCCTCGCGTCGGGC